CTTAAATCTCTATAAAAATGACTTTCACTAATAAGAATTTACTGTATTTGCAGAAGAAAATCCCAAGTTTAATTAATTGTGAATGCTTGGACGTAAAAAATGAAAGTTTTAATAGTTTTTAAAAAAAATTACAAAACCAACAGAACTTATTTTATAGTTACTTTTTTTTAATCCATAACGTCGTTCAGTGGCATTTTTCCATAGCTTCAAAACTTATTCAAAACTTCCAAAAACTGCATTTGTGCTTTTCTTTTTTKAATATAGTGTCTAGATTCAATTAATTTTAATGACTAAAAAAGCCAGAGCTGATTATAATGAAGGAAATAGGGAAACGTCAACCATTCAAGCCGGAAAACATTCCTATTTAGTAACCTTGAAACTGCCTTATTATCCTTAAAGGAAATTGACCACAGATCGTCATGTTGTAATAAAACTGACATTGTGTTGAGTAATGAACTMTATCTTCGTTGGTCGTCTAGCCTTTTTATTATAAAAAGATTTCCTTGTCCAAGTTACTCTTTATTCGTTTTTAATTACTATTTTGTAAGGAGTTACCCATAGTTAGTCAAGTGTTTATTTTGGCCAACTATCCTCACGCCATTGCGCAAATAAAAAAAAAAAGATTCTTTCTAAAGAACTATTGTTGAAATATAAAACAACAGTTGAAAATAGAGGATATATACTTCTTTCTAAAGAACTATTGTTGAAATATAAAATAACAGTTGAAAATAGAAGATATATACTTCTTTCTAAAGAACTATTGTTGAAATATAAAATAACAGTTGAAAATAGAGGATATATACTTCAATACAAACTTAATAAACTAAGTTTTTATTTATTTATACCACGTGGATGGTAAAAGTTTGAAGCCAGAAGCTTCTGTGGTTGTCACACCACTYACTMCCTCGCTGCCATTACATATTGACGATTTTACCACACARCACTACTGMCAGATTGATTTTAGATGGGGGAGGAAAACCARTGTACTTGAATTAAAAACCTCACTAAATGGGAAAAAACGAACTGTTGTAATAGCAGACATCTTATAGGAACTGTAAGTCACTGTCCGACTTAGCGGTCACTGTCCGCAATAGCGAGTGACAGAGAGAAATTTCTTATTTAAAGTTTCCGTTATAACAGGGTGTTCGTAATAGTGAGTGTATATGATCTGTGCTAAAACAAGAACTTGAGCTTGGGTCACAAGGAACTGTATATATCACTGTCCAACATAGCGGTCACCGTCCGCACTAGCGAGTGACAGCCAGTAATTTGTTATTTAAAGTTTCCGTTATAACATTGTGTTCGTAATAGTGAGGGTTTAGAAAAGTAAGGGTCCACAAGGACTCGAGCTTGGGTCGGAAGAAGAAGATGCGCGCAGTAAACCGCCTCGCCATTAACCAACTCATTACTTGATACCGCAAAAACTGAACCTCTTTGCGGCTCTCTTAAAGCACTTAGGAACAATTTCAAAGCACAATTCATCAATATTTTATCGACTGTGTTTGAATTGACCATTTTAGGTCAACCTCTGACGCCTATCTTCTCTAGACCACAAGTTTCTGTTGGCGGGTGCGTGACGTCACAGGTCACGTGACTGTATACCGTTTTGATAACAGAATTTACCAAATTTAAGGAATGTAGGATATAAGTGTCTTTTTAAGTCTAAATCGAACAATGTACGCATGAAATAATATTTCTGTGATATTCGTATGTGAGTTAATTTATTTTTTTTAATAAAAATAATAAAAATTGCTAAATCATATAAGCAAACGAGACATGAATGAAATCTTAAGGACTTTTTCGTATAAAACATGAAAATGTTTATTATATTTTTCCTTCTTTTTCCTGCATTATTTTTGATGTAGCTATTTCATATGATCTTATTCTATTGTTACATAGTTATGCAGCCATGGGTAATTTTTAAAACCCAATTCCACATCAAGGAAAAAACCGACGTTAATTTTAGATAAGTTTGCCTAAAGTTCGTTAACAGTAATTGTKTGTTATCGCTTGGCATCCTTGGTTTAATTTGTTGTTATAGCCTGTGGTCCAATTACTAATAATATAATTAATACACCTCCACAGAAMAATAATGGTTTGAACACAGAGAGAGAGAAAAAAACTGCAAAAAAATAGATTATCCAGATGTTAAATTTCTAAAATTCAGTAAATTGGATGTTTTGGTTGGTAACTTTTGACACCATATTTGCGGTGAAGGAATTTTCTGTTCAGTCAAACGATCATGGCTACCGAGCGTTCTTTTTCATAAGGTATATCGACTTATAATTCTTATTTTTCTATTTTAGTATTGTCTTTATCTGAAACTTGGGTTTGTACCATTATAAATGAACATGCAAAGATGATAATGTCATGTGTAGACTTTTCACCCTTTTTTATTATATATTTTTCGTTTGCTCTAATCATGGTCACCTCAATTTACCACCATATTTTTATGAAATATATAATTGCGATTTTCTTACTTGGTGTTTTGTAAGTTTTGCTTGTATAGTTCTATCAAAAATGAACCTGAGGTTTATAATTTTTTTTAATTTTTTGTAAATGGGACAAAAAAGTTTTTTTTTTAATATGTTTAGATTTGCCTTGGTGGTTGTAGTCGCGTTCTGTCTGCCTCAAGGTTTCATACGCAAATCCCATTTACTTCATAGTTGTAAAACAAATTGAAGAAATAATCCCAGTAAATCCACGTCCACGTCCAAKAGKRGATCAAGGGGGAGGGGGTGGGGTGATTTTAGGGTCCAAAAAATAAAAATAGAAATTACGATACAAATCAATATAAGAAGAAATCAACTCTGAAAGGAACTCCTTCCGATCCACAACTAAAGTCGTGTTCTCCTGAAAGAAATTTTTATTTTCCGAGGCCCTCAGTGTTTACATTTTATATTTTTTACTGATTTTGTCACTTCTTGGAAACTTTCTGGATCCGCCTCTGACGTTGTCTAGGAAAACCATATAGCAGAGAAATTGCTGGGTTTTTTATTCTCTTTGATAAAGTATTAAATATGATCATCTATTTTTAAGTGGGGTACGAGGTGTGTAAGGAATTCCTCCTCAGTTCTTCGAGAGTTGATAAATGATAAATATTTCATCTATAACGATGGATATATGGATATGAACGAATCAAAAAAGAAAGTTTTGAATGAATAAATGAAAGGACGCCAAAATAAATGAAAAAATGATAAATTTATGGATAGAAGATTTTACAGCCTTAAAGTATAACCGTATCCCTCTCTTGAGAAAGTAATGGAGCCAAGCTGCAACATGTACAACAAAACGCACAKATATCACACAAACTAACACCCAATTCACATATATAAACCATAAGGAAAAAATTCATTTATCTTTTTAAAGTTCAAAGCAAACATACCTTAATCCTAACAGTTATCGGTGACCGTGCAATCTAACGATGTGTGGCTGGGAATCTCTGTGGTATATGGTCTCTCCACACTCCTTTTATGCCCCAGATTCTGGAAGAATAGATACATTAATTTTTCATTAAAACGTGGGGCTAATAGGTATTACCTTAACGAACTTCCCGATAAAAATCTCTGTGAAGCCAAAGCGCTTTTTTCTGGGATAATATGTCATAACGTCGTGTCAAAAAGCCAACTTATCCCGTCGTTGATTTAGAATATAAGTAGTTATTTTAAGTTGTGAAATGAAAGTTAATTAAGTTGAGGTGTCTCCTAATCTTGCAATGAGCTTCCGTAGACATCCGACGTCCGCGTGTCGCCAGTGTGGAAATGTTTAGACTATTATTTATTTTCATAACTGTGTGAAATTATTTTTTTCTTTAATTTCAGCCATCTTGAATTGTTCTGAGCTCAGAACGAGGAAGACTGGTATAATGGGGTTTGTGATTGGTCCAATTGGTCACCTAATATGTATAATCAACCTACCGCTGTGGACGTTTCGTTACGTTTTCAATAGCACAATCAAGCGAAAGAAACAAGGAAACTCAAGTTGTCCGAAATCTCGGTAACTAATAAATCATTATAGAAGAAGCATACTTTAGTATTTTAACATGAGTCCTACGTACGATAACGTTTTAACAAGGAAATTCTAGATATCTTGTGCTTGCTTTATCGCTACGTTTGGCAGTTGTTAGACACTACGGTTTTCATTTACATTTACGCTTTACTTTAAGGCTGAATTTCTCGGTTTTCCTGCGGTTTAAAAATTTCACTTGCGTTTGCGCTTGCTTTCGTTCTGCCTATGGTTATTCTCACTACGATTTTCACTTGCTGTTGCACTCACATTATCACAGGCTTTGATCGTACTCACTACTTCGTTCGTGCTTTAATACTTTATCGCTGGTTTTCACTTGCGTTTGAGCTTCGGTTTTCACTTGCGTTTGCACTCGCATCGTTTGGTGGTTCTCACTACGGTTTTCACTTGTGTTTGAGCTTGGTTTATAACGTAATTCTGTGRTCTGTACTTACGTTTACGCTGGCTTGTTATTGGGGAGGGGGAGGGGAGATAATTCCCTTAAAAAAGGGGTGGAGTTCCTGGTCGGAAATTCTGATAATGAACCCTAAAAGCGGTCTGTATTGTGAGATGATGGGCGTGGTAGTAATGAACTTTCCACCCTAAAAGTGACCAATCAAAAACCCGCTATTATTGGTTTAGCGTCTCGAAATTATTTGTACATCGACACTCTAACATAAAACGCCTTCTACTCGTATACGTTTATGTTTACGTAGTAGCCTTGTGGTTCGTCTTGTACGGTTTTGTTAGGGCCCTCTTAACCTAAAAGGGACAACACACAACTCAGTTGGTAGGAATTATTAACCTTACCGAGACCAAAACACTGATTTCAAATCCTATACGGAACAATGAGAGCCCCGCCCTTTTTAATAAGGGAGACCCCTAGGTTCGAGCAACACCGTGTCTTTGCCTGCGCAGGCCAGAATATTATTGCATGTCCACTCCTTGCGTGATGTTGAGAGATGAGGTCAAAAACTATCAAATTACACGATCTCGCTACGCAGTTCCCATTATAAAAGCTTCGAGCTCATCGACAGCAGAGATCTTTCTTCCTTCGCTTTCTACCTATAAGAAGCACAAAGAGGTCGAACATGACAACACAGCTCTTGATAATCTTACTCTTAGGAGTTTCGGGTCAGTATGATCTATATTCGTTTCTGTTTATGAAAAATTAGTGAGTTTTTCTGGAGAGTTTGGTATATTGCCCTGATTCGTGCACGAAGAACTTTTTCAACATGACTGGAGGTTAAACACAGGCTCGTTTGAAACTGAACTGCAATTTTTGATCAAATCGTTGTTTGGTCTTATAAGTTCAATATGTGATATAAAAACAGATTTGCAGCAGCAAAGTTTCAATACTCAGAAAAGTATGAAAATATTTTTAAACAAGAATGTTTGCGTTGTATGTTATATATCTAAATCAATTAGTTATATCGCGTTGATTCCTGAGATTCTTCTTTAGCGCACGTTTTGTATTTAAAAGTAAACGATATTTAATTTCTACTGCACATTTTCCATAGAAATGATCAAGCGAGTTTAGAATTAAAACTAGAATTAATCTCTAAATCTAAAAGTCTATCTGTGTATATGAGTACGGCTTCTTCGTTCTATTATTATATGTTTACGTCAAAAAGTTACTGCGAAAAAAAAAACGAAAGCGGAAAATAGACTGTGTATTCTGATACTTAAAGAATGCACGTGATGGGCATATGGAATGGAACGGAAGTGCGTTCTCGAAGGTCAAAGTGCCTCCTTTGCAGCCGTTATTTGGCTCGTTCCCATGTCTCGCGTGACTACAGGCAACCCTTCTTTTCGTTTATCGATTGTTAGATTGATTTGTCGATATTGATTGGTCGATTGATTAAATTAAATAATCATTTGATTGGCTGATGTTCGATTATATGTTGATTAATTAAATTAATGACTGATTGATGGATGGATTGATTGATTGATTGATTGATCGATCGATCGATTGATTGATTGATTGATTGATTGATTGATTGATTGATTGATTGATGGATGGGTGGATTGATTGATTGATTGATTGATTGATTAATTGATTGGTGAAATAGTTGACTGGTAGATTGTTAGACATTACGAATAGGTTGTAATGACTGAATATGGAATTAACTGGCTGATTGGTTCACTGGTCTCTTGGTTAGTTTATTGATTGATAGGATTACTCGACTTCTTAATTAAATGTTCCGATTGATCGGTTGATTGATTAATCAGTGGATTGATTTTTTTTTCTTGTGCAGCATATGCCATGCCCAAGATWCRAAATCAGTTGGAAGATGTGTACAATACAGGCGAGGCATCGAGCATCCTTATGCCTGGACCTGTCATTTTGCCAGGAAACGAAAAACAAGATCCTGAAAAATGCGACCTTTGTAAAGGAATGGTTTCAAGTGTCAGTGGAATGATCGTACACAATTTTACCAAGGTATTATTATCTCCTTTTTTCAAGTCAAACCCGTTTTTTATCTCTGTTGTAGCCAAAATTCAAACAAGACACGCACAGAGTTAAGTGTGGTTCTATTCACAATCAACAAAATATTAGAGCGGATTTCGTATGAGTGGGACACCGTTACCGCACGGTTACCGCACAGTTACCGCACCTGGCCTGGTCCCTGGCCTGCAGAATTTTGGTGAACCAATGGGGCACTAGAATTTGGTTACAGTACGATTACGGACACAGTACAGTACCGTCCGTTTCCCACTCATACGAAATCCGCTCTAAGTATACGGTACATTACAAAGCTACTAACTACAGGTTACAAGAAATAAAATATAGAAATACAATATTACCTTGTCGGTGAATTACACGGCTTGACTACAACATGAAAACTAAACGAATTTACATATTACGAACTACTAAGAACATAATACTACTTCTCAAGGGAAACATATCATTACATACCAGTTACTTATCTGACAAAGGGAACATAAACAGTTCTGTTCAAACACTTAAATAGGCATATATTGTTCTATACAATTAACAATCTCCCCAATATTTGCTGTACGGCTAGATTTTTTCTTTTTTCTTAGATCTTATATCTCCTATTCCATTTTAGGCAGAAATGATAGATGCCTTGGATCAYTGGTGTAACCAATATCCCGATATAAGTGATAAGGTAATTATYTATTGAGATCATTATCAATATCATTTTTGGTGTAGCATGGACGCTCTAAATCCGTGAAACAATAGAGTGCTTTCAGTAAAAGCTTGAAACACTTATTACTAAATTGTGCAAAACAGTACTAGTTCAACAAATGAATTAGCATAAAATAATGCAAAGTATAGCATTACTAATTGTTCACGGTTTTAGAGTGATCGCACTTAAACCGTGCAACTTTACAAAATCTAAGTAGTACTAATTTGTACCGAAAAGTGGACCTGAAGCGAGACGGTATTAAATGCTTCAATTGTATCAATTTAATTTAATTTGCGTAGCGCATGCACGATTTACTAAATACAACTGAATAGCACTATTTAGTTTGTACAGTTGCACGGTTTAAGTGCGATCACTCTACGCAAATTAAATGGAATTGATAAAAATGAAGCAATACCATCTGGCTTCAGGTCCACTTTTAGTATAAATTGGAAATATTTAGATTTTGTATAGATGCACGTTTTAACGCTAAAAGCACTTTAATTACTACTAAATAGCTTTGATTACACAATAAAATAACGGGTAAAGCGTACAATTATTTTCATAAAACATGGAACAATTAATTAATAACACATTTTTATGAATCGTTGCAGTGCGAAATGTATGTGGACAACTATCTCGATCTAGTCATAAAGGAGATCAAAGAACATATGACTTTGGAGATGATTTGCCAGAAACTTGGTCTTTGCCCAGAAAGCAAAGTTCCAATTATTTTAAAGGATAGATATAAAAGAGAACTGGATAAGCACACATTGGAAGATGTGTACAATACAGCCGAGGCATCGAGCATCCTTATGCCTGGACCTGTAATTTTGCCAGGAAACGAAAAACAAGATGATCCAAACTGCAAACTTTGTAAAGCAATGGTTACACTCGTCGATGTTATGCTCAAACAAAATCTATCCGAGGTACGYTATCTCCTCCTTTTTTCAAAGCCGCTCATTCTCTCTCCAATATTAGCTGTACGGTTAGATATGTGCTGGTCCGTGGGAATCGGTACAATTTTTATGTGATTTTGACTACGATAGGGTAGGGTCTGTGTTTACTAAMGACACTTACATTCAAAATATTTTGCAACATCACATAAAARTTTATAAGGATTTTTAGCGATTTGATTGATATTTCCGTAAAGTCATGGTGGAAAACTGTTATGTTCACTCCTGCTTAGGGTGTCGAATGTTTTAAAAATGGCGAAACTTTCACTCGCTCTCTCCCTCTCAATTTTCTTTTTTCTATTCTTTTTTCATATTCTATTTTAGGCAGAAATGGTAAAAGCCTTGGATAAAATTTGTGAGCAATATCCTGATATCAGTGATAAGGTAATTATGTATTGARATCATTATCAATRTCATTTTTGGTGTAGTGTGAACGCTCTAAATCCTTGAWACAAATAGAGTTAGAGTACTTTCAGTAAAAAGCGTGGAACACTAATAYTTGAACAAAAGAATTAGAATAAAATAATGCAAACTAGCATTTCTAACTGTTCACGGTTTTAGTGTTGATTTGATAATGGGAAACAAAGGCATTGGCATGATTTAGTACTATTTTGTAGTATTTAAGTTTCAYGGATTACGTGCGTTCACTCGGGCTACACTAGAATGTATGTAGTGGCCTCTGCGAAAGCAGTGAAATACGATTGCAGAGCGCTATACAACATCCGTTTCATTTGTTCTTAGGGTTTATCCTCGTTGAATTGTTGCTATTGCGCGCAACAATGTTTTCTGTCTCAACTTGTCAGTCTAACACATGCAGTCAAATCGTCGGATAAGAATAAGTGATCCTTTGACTTACTTGCCTATTCAAGATTATTACACGTACCCTGCTATGCAGGGGGTACGTGTAGTAAAATGCTGTCACTTTCTTGGTTTTTCTTTTTTCACAATGTCGAAAGTTTGGCTTCGGTACATCTTCGTAGCCAATCACATTGTGAATTATATATCCGGTAGCCAATCACATTACGTTGTGCATTCCGAACGCTATAGCCTGTCGATAATCCCGTTCGCAACATTTCCAACTCGTTCTGCACAATGTTTTATCCGCCATTTTGATGAATATTGTCTCTACTAACGAATATGGAACAGAACATGAAGGTTTACGACCAAAATCTGGAACTCATTACTTGTCTGAGTGTTCGGACCAAGGGTATGTTGAATTGTGATGACGAGGAGATCTCACTACAGAGATCAACACGCTTACTACTCGTGAAGCAACGGCAACGATATAGTGATTGGGTTCCAATGATTGAATATCAATACAACTCTTTAGAAAATGCTTATTAATTCCATGGCTATTCAAAGATCTGCAATAGATATGTCGAGTTTTAATGTAGATGTGCAAAAATATTGTGTTACTATCATATCAAAAGTTAATAAAGCGTCACGTTGTAACCAAATCATGCCTAGTTATATATCTCCGGGTTCTGACCTTAAAATTATACTGCAGAATCACAAAGGCAGTTACAGCTGAAATTTTAAGAGCCACCACATATAAGCTTATCGCAAAAATCACATATATTTTGGCAAGGCTCGATGGATCAAATCATTTCTTTATTCTGTATCAGTAAGGTTTTAATAAGGCCTCATTTACTAATGATCTCACAACATCATGCACAACAAAGGGTACGTGTCAACCCTGCATACAGGGTCTAGTCTGAGAATCAAGCCTTCGAGGGAGCATAGGTAGAGGGGAAATCCGAAGGCCTCTCACATTTTCTTTCCCCTCCGTTTATTCTCCCAGCGCTGATACCAGGTTGAATTTCAAGTTGCCTCTGAAAATTAAAAGATGAATGACATGGCAAGSAAATGTGGATATTTTTGTGGCTGATATGATGAGTAAAATGTACTATTATTTTCATATATCATGAAACARTTGATAACACGTTTTTATGAACTGTTGCAGTGCGAAATGTACGTGAAAGAGTATATCGATCAAATCGTAAAGGCGCTCGAAAATAATATGACTGCGGAGATGATTTGCGAGAGASTTGGTCTTTGCCCAGGAAGCAAAATTCCAGGTATTTTTTTGATAGATTAAAAAAACGTCAATCTAATAGAAGAAGTCAAAAATGAATGTCTCAGGAATGTCTCAGGGTTTCAAAATGTGATATTTTCATGGTCTGGTCTGTTCCTGGTCAATGTTTTTTGCCACAAAAAGGAAAACAACACTTATGAGTAAGATTATTGTACTCTTGAATGAAAAAAAGTATTGTGTCGCAGGGTTCTATATTGGTGCCATTTTCCTCTTAAATATTTTGTCTTCTCATGCCTCGCATAGGTAAAAGGGCACAAGTTCATCTGATGAACAATAAAGAGGATCAGTTATGTAGTCTGTGTGAATATGTAGTCACAACGATCGACGCTATGCTKAAGCAGAATGCAACTGAGGTAATGACCGCTTTTTTAATAATCTCCCGAAGGGAACTCCCTTGAAAAGTGCCCAAAAAGAATATGCTCATAAATGAACTTATTTGTAATGATTGGACACTGATCGAAAAATGTGCGATGTCTGTTCGAAACCCTGCGAGCTACGCGAGTGTCTTAAAAAGACTAAAGGTCCGCGGAGCGACACTACCACTCTTTCATAGGGGCTCCACAACTGCCCAACCGTAGTGGAATTATTCTCTTCCCTCATTCCTGCATGTGGTTTCTTTGTCTCCTGTCATCTCGTTTCTTCTCTCTGCGAGTCTCTCCCTCTATTACTTTTTATACTTTCAGTTCCAGCATCTTTTAAAAGGATAAAAGGATAGTTCTTGGTTTGAAAGAACAAATTACTTCATAAGATTTTCGGCACATTTCGATGAT